GAGCATACTGCTTATCTTTCGCCTTTCAGCTCCAATCCAGGAGCCCTCAAGCAGTCGCTTATATAAATTTGATACAAAATAGTTTGTCATGAAAACGACTGCCTCCAGAGGGCCTCCAGAACCTGGGGAGGCCATTTTCGCCATCCTGGAGGCTTGAGAAAAGCTCCGGAGCCCAGGCGGGCAAAAACACACCCCGCCCCCACTGTGGTGCAGCAGGCTGACTAGGCCACGCCCATGCCCATCCAGCAATAAGAGCCTTAGTGGCGCAACAGACTAAAGTGCTGTTAAGTAGCACCAGCTGCCTGCAATTACTGCAAGTTCAAATCTCACCAGGCTCAAGGTTGACTCAGCCGTCCATCCTTTCGAGGAAGGTAAAATGAGGAGCCAGTTTGTGGGAGCAATAAGCTGACTTTGTATAAAAAAGAACACCGCTTGAGGGGGGGGGCAAAGCCCTACTAAGCAGGTATATACAAAAGTATGAAGACTATTGCTTAATGCATTGTAAGCCGCCCTGAGTCTCCGGAGAAGGGCGGCGTATAAATCGAACCAATAAATAAATAAATAAATAAACCGGGCAGAGAACCCCTTGCTAAAATTTTTGAAGCCCACCCCTACTTAATATTGCCTACTCACTCTTTCCTCAAACCAAGGTTGTTTGGATGAGGGCTAGAGAATCTCAGAACCTGACACGTTTGAAGGATACCAAGTCTGAGTCATCCAACTGCATCTGTACCTTTAGAAGATTCTAAATTCAGATTTTGCTCCCTTTCCCCCCCCCTCTTTCTTTGGGTAGAATTGGCCGATAGCTCTGGGCTGTGGCCCTTGCAAGTCCACCTTTCTTTTTCAGAAGACAGGGGTGTCCCCAGAAGGTGATTTATTTTTTATTTTATTATTTTATTTTATTATTTTATTATTTTATTTTATTTTATTTTATTTTATTTTATTTTATTTTATTTTATTTTATTTTATATTATTTTTATTTTATTTTATTTTATTTTATTTTTTTATTTTATTTTATTTTATTTTATTTTATTTTATTTTATTATTTTATTTTTATTTTAATTTTATTTTATTTTATTATTTTATATTTTATTTTATTTTTATTTTATTTTATTTTATTATTATATTTTATTTTATTTATTTTTTATTATTTTATTTTATTTTATTTTATTTTATTTTATTTTATTTTATTTTATTTTATTATTTTATTTTTCTATACCGCCCTTCTCCCGAAGGACTCAGGACGGTGTACAGCCTGATTAAAAGCACAAAGACAGACAAAATTTATAAATAATTTAAATTATTAAATAATTGGCTCAATTATAAAATGATGCGTTTTTCTCCTTCATCTCACATCACCCTGACAATGCTGCCTTCTTTGGATGATCTCGAAAGCTCACTCTTTTCTAAAGTATCAAAAAGCATAAGAACATATTGAAGTCATTTTCTTTGGAAAGGCCTTTTTCCAAACACAAAATGAAAGAGAGAAAAAAAAATCTTGCTTAAGCATACATGTTTTGGCTGCGTTATTATAGTGCAAGAACTTAAACGGACAAAGATTTTTTGGGGGATATTTATGTGATCCTCGCTAGAGCCGTAAATGGGGCAAACGTTTGATGTACAGTTCAACTCAAAATTTCCACTAACAACAAAAATCATTCAAGAGACCATTTGGGGGTTTTTTTTCCTATATAAAAATATTTTTAAAAGTCTTCTTAGCTCTTCCATGCCAACTTGGAGTTAATTCCACCAATGACATTGGCCTCTTTCTGCTGGCATTTGATTTGCTTAAGTGGTTTTATATTAGTTGAAGGGGGAAAAAATTAGCATGGGCCAAACCTTTGAAAACATTATGAAGTGATGCTGGATCTTAGACCTGGATTAAGATAAGAATACAGAGATGAAGGAAAGGGAAAAACAGAATTATTATTGTTAATAGAGTAGAGTAGAGTAGAGTAGAGTAGAGTAGAGTAGAGTAGAGTAGAATAGAATAGAATAGAATAGAATAGAATAGAATAGAATAGAATTTTTTATTGGCCAAGTATGATTGGACACACAAGGAATTTGTCTTGGTGCATACGCTCTCAGTATACATAAAAGAAAAGATACGTTCATCAAGAATCATAAGGTACAACACTTAATGATAGTCATAGGGTACAAATAAGCAATCAGGAAACAATATCAATATAAATCGTAAGGATACAAGCAACAAAGTTACAGTCCTACAGTCAGAAGTGGAAGGAGATGGGTGGTGGGAACGATGAGAAGATTAATAGTAGTGCAAACTTAGTAACTAGTTTGACATTGTTGAGGGAATTATTTATTTAGTAGAGTGATGGGCTTGGGGAAAAACTGTTCTTGTGTCTAGTTGTTCTGGTGTGCAGTGCTCTATAGCGTCATTTTTGAGGGTAGGAGTTGAAACAGTTTATGTCCAGGATGCGAGGGGTCTGTAAATATTTTCCCAGCTCTCTTTTTGACTCGTGCAGTATACAGGTCCTCAGTGGAAGGCAGGTTGGTAGCCATTGTTTTTTCTGCAGTTCTAATAATCCTCTGAAGTCTCTGTCTGTCTTGTTGGGTTGCAGAACCAAAGCAGACAGTTATAGAGGTGCAGATGACAGATTCAATAATTCCTCTGTAGAACCATATCAGCAGCTCCTTGTTGCTATTATTATTGTGGTACCTAGCCCGCCTTTCTCCCCAGAGAGAATGAAACTTCTACAGATTCCTCTGTGATTTTTTTTCTTTAAAAAGTTGCTTAGACAGAAGCCGTTATAGGAAATGAGTTTCAATTTTACATATTGAACAGAAATACAAAGTATTCCCCTCTGAGCGGCATGCTAATTGTTATTGTTTTTAAGGGACTTTGATTTCTACAGCGAATTTGTGACACTCCCGAATGTTGTCATTTACAGACGGAGAAACCAACGATGATGAAATTTGGGAGTCGAGTCTGAGTTGTCATGTCACCATATAGAAATCTTGCCCAGCCCCCCAATTGTCTCAGAGAGATGCAAGTCTATAGACATGTCAAGTTCAGTGTTATGTATGCGAAACATCTCAAGACTTGAAAGCAGTGGTGAAATCCAGTTTATTTTACTACTGGTTCTGTGGGCGTGGCTTGGTGAACGTGGCAGGGGAAGGATACTGCAAAATCCCCATTCCCACCCCACTCCAGAGGAAGGATACTGCAAAATAGGGAGCCTTGATAGTACAGTGGTTTAATGCACCCTGTTATTAAGAACAGCTGCCTGCAATTACTGCAGGTTCGAATCTCGCCAAGGCTCAAGGTTGACTCTGCCTTCCATCCTTTCTAAGGTAGGTAAATTGAGGACCCAGTTTGTGGGGGCAATAAGCTGACTTTGTATAAAATATACAAAAGAATGAAGGCTATTGCTTAACGCATTGTAAGCCGCCCTGAGTCTCCGGAGAAGGGCGGCATATAAATCAAATTAAAAAAAAAAAAATCTCCATTCCCACCCCACTCCAGGGGAAGGATACTGCAAAATCACCATTCCCTCCCCACTCTTGGGCCAGCCAGGGGTGATATTTGTTGGTTCTCCAAACTGCTCAAATTTTCCACTACCAGTTCTCCAGAACCTGTCAGAACCTGCTGGATTTCACCTCTGCTTGAAAGATTATTCTCAGCTTAAAGCTGAGCCGTTTTGAGATCAGAACAGTGTCAGAAAGTTTCCAATATGTTGAGTTTTTGATGATCTCAGAGCTTGGTTGTTTTCTCACCATTGTCAGGTTAGGTCAAAACGAACGACTGAGTTCAGAGACAATCAAGAATTCAATTGATCAACCTTGAGTTACATATCTTCTCTCCAGGTTGGCCCTTCCGATAAGATCCAAGTGACCCATTTCATGCATAAAAGCCACTGTTTGGAGCTCAAAATGGTTCCAAATATTTTCCCACAACCCTGAAGTCCTTTGTGAAGTCTTCTTGTTTTGTAGTAGTGATGGTTAACCTTTTTGGTGCAGAGTGCCTAAAGTGTGCATGTGTGCAATTGCACGTGTGCATGGCCGAACCCCCAAAATGCAATGCAAGTGCCCCCCGCGCATGCCCCCTGCCCCCTCCGCATCCCATTTTGGCTTCCAGGTTGATGCAGGCTTTCCCTGTTTTGGCTTCCAGATAGGTGCAGGCTTTCGAGGCTCAAAACGGGGCACCGGGGGCCCCATGCACCGTTTTGGCTTACATGTTGGTGCAGGTGGCCTTCCAGGCCCAAAACAGGACGCAGGAGGTGTGTGCAGGCACATGAACCCCCAAAATGCAATGAGAGCACCCCACACACATGTGCATCACCCCCATGCATGCACTCCGCTCCCGCACATGTGCACATGCTTGTCCTGCATGCGGCCTGCCCCCCGCACATGCGCGGCAGCGACCTGAAGACCAGCTGGCTGGCGAGAGGCATGCACACATGCGTGGTCGAGCTGGGCTGCCATAGGTTCGCCATCACGGCTTCAGAGCAGGGGTGAAATGCTCCCGGTTCGGACCGGATCGCCCGATCCAGTAGCAGTGGCGGTGGGTGGTTCGGAGAGCAAAAATCCCTGTCCCCCCCCATGCCCAGCTAAGCCGCACGATCATCAGAGGTTTTTTTTTTACTTTTAAAAGCATTTTTCTTCTGCCGAAAAAATGCTTTTAAAAGCAAAAAAAAAATGCTTTTAAAAGAAAACAAAAGCCTCTGACGATCAGCTGGGATCGTCAGTCTTTTAAAGGCATTTTTTTTACAAAGCATTAGAAAAAATGCTTTTAAAAGTAAAAAGTTGGCCACGCCCACTCAGTCACATTACCCACCCACCCCACCAAGCCACGCCCACAGAACCGGTAGTAACAAATTTTACATTTCACCACTGCTTCAGGACTGGCAGCAAAGGGCCCTCCTGTGTCAGGGAAAGAGCTGAGGACTGCCTCTCTCTGCGAGTCAAAGCTTCCCTTCTTTGGCCTCTGCCAAGATGCTCAGCCTGCCTTGAGTGATGTGTCCTTCATGTCTTCACAGATATGCTTCCACTGCTGCCGATGGACCTCAAGGGGGAACCTGGACCACCGGGAAAGCCGGGCCCGAGAGGACCACCTGGGCCACCAGGCTATCCTGGGAAACCGGGCACCGGGAAACCAGGACTTCATGGGCAACCTGGACCTGCTGGGCCCCCTGGCTTTTCCGGCATCGGCAAACCTGGTCTTCCAGGACTTCCGGGAAAGGCTGGCATGAAGGGGATGCCAGGGCCGGCAGGGGAGATCGGCCCACGAGGAGACCAAGGACTGCGGGGCTGGCCAGGGCCACCGGGATTGCCTGGGCCTGCTGGACTCTCTGTGAATGGAAAACCAGGCCCAAACGGGGGCCCGGGGCTCCCTGGATTCCGGGGAGAACCTGGGCCCAAAGGAGAACCCGGCCCGCGAGGCGAGCGTGGAGCAAAGGGCGAGAATGGTGTGGGGAAGCCCGGACTGATGGGCCCCCGAGGTAATGGGGGACTGCCTGGCCCTGCAGGACCTCCAGGACCTTCTGGCCTTGGGAAACCTGGCCTGGATGGGTTGCCTGGGGCTCCGGGGAGCAAAGGGGACTTGGGGCTTCCGGGTGAGCCAGGGCTCAGTGGACAACCTGGGCCTATGGGCCCTCGTGGTCCTCCAGGTCTGGATGGCACTGGACTGCCTGGCATAGCTGGCATGCCGGGTCTGCCAGGCCATTTGGGGCCTAAGGGCGAACCTGGCCTGCGTGGTCTTCCAGGGCTGCCTGGCGCTATAGGGTATGGGAAACCAGGGCTCCCTGGCTTAAAGGGGGACCGTGGGCAACCGGGAGTGCCAGGAATAATTGGTGACAAAGGGGAGCCCGGGATGGATGGAGAGCCAGGGGAGATGGGGCCCCATGGCCTGGCTGGGGTCCCTGGCCCTCAGGGCATCATGGGTTTGCCGGGCAAGCATGGGCTCCCCGGCCCAAAAGGTGAAGTAGGGCCAAGTGGGCCTATAGGACCCCCAGGTCTGCGGGGAGACCAGGGGCCCAATGGTTTTGTGGGCAAGCCGGGGATTCCTGGGGAGAGAGGGCTCCCTGGTGCCACAGGGATGCCTGGCCCAATGGGTCCCAAGGGGGAAGGTGGCTTCATGGGGCTTCCTGGGGCCCCAGGCTCTTCTGGACCCCATGGGACCAAGGGAGACTCTGGGATCCCAGGCCAACCAGGCCTCAGAGGCCCTTCAGGAATACCAGGTTTACAAGGCCCCTCGGGTCCCATGGGCCCCCAAGGTTTGACAGGCTTGAAAGGTGAACCTGGGCCCCCGGGGGCCCCTGGAATCAGCAGAGTTGGAGAGCCAGGCATGATAGGTCCTGCTGGCCCTCCAGGGGTTCCTGGCAATCCTGGAATCATTGGGCTCCCGGGACCCCCAGGACCGCCTGGGGCCCCAGGAATATCGCCTGTCAAAGATTTTCAGGGCCACCATTTGCCCGACGGAAATGTTGATGGAGCAGTGTTGGGGAACGGCAAGTCCGGGAAACCCCAGTTTGGCCGAGGGGAACTCTCTGCCCAAATGTTGCCAGCTTTCACCGCTATCCTGAGCTCGCCCTTCCCAGCCTCAGGAATGCCCGTAAAATTTGACAGGACTTTGTACAATGGGCAGAATGGCTATAACCCAGGAACAGGCATCTTCACTTGCCCTATTTCTGGCATCTATTACTTCGCCTATCACGTCCATGTGAAAGGAACCAACGTCTGGGTGGCCCTTTACAAAAACAACGTGCCGGCCACCTACACTTACGATGAGTACAAGAAAGGCTATTTAGACCAAGCGTCGGGCAGCGCCGTGCTTGAACTCAAGGAAAACGACCAAGTCTGGATCCAGATGCCGTCAGACCAAGCCAACGGTCTGTACTCCACCGAATACATCCATTCTTCTTTTTCCGGATTCCTTCTCTGCCCCACATAACGGCTGTTGGGAGTTGCTCTTTTCTCCCCTTGAGTCATAAACTTGTCTTTTTTTGAAAAACAAAAACAAAAAAAATATAGGAAAGTCACTGGGAAGGATGGTGCGAGCCACGATCGCTTTGACCCAGCCAAGGAGAGCATCCGGGAAAGAGAACCGTTGTTGCTGGACCGCCTGGGGATTCGGAATTTGATTTATCCTTATGGCGGCATGGCCTGGCAAGCCCACAGATGCTGCCCGTCACTTCTTTGGGGCCCTTGAAAGTCCGAAAGGGTTGGGGAAACCGTGCCAACAAAAGTCACTTTTAACATAGTGGTTTTTTTTTCTTCTTTTTAAATCAGCTTAAGGCACCACCTTCCTTTGTTTAGCTCTTTTAAAATGTGATTTCGGTCGACGCCTGAGGCACAACGAAGACCCAGAAGGGTGAATTATGAAATTGTGAAATGCTTTGCTTTAAGCATCTTTTACGCAAGGCTCTGTGTATTTTTAAAGCATCCAGTTTGGTGTTTATGGGAAAAGGGATGACAAAGAAACTCTTTTATTTCAAAGCCATACAGAGATTTCTAAAATCAACTGGAAAAAGCCAGACACCGTAAATTATGCGTTTAATAGCCCAGGGTTATATAAACCAGTCAAATGCCCATCAGGTGCAAGGCAGTAGTTTAAATAAGTAAATATACTTCTATGAATATCTGAGTATTAAAGCACTGCAGATATTGCTAATTTTATATATATATATATATATGTATATGTATGTATATGTATATATATATATAAAAGACTGAATTGTGTTAAGTTCAAACACTTTGTTACCGTATTTCCTCAGGATCTGCAGACTGTTGACGAAGGTGGCCGTACCAAACTCCATACAATATTTGATATCTTTTCTTTAAATAAAATTCTTGATTTCACTTCAGTGTAATTTCCACAATGGTGCTAAGTAATATTTTCCTAATATTAGCTCCTTTAAAAGACATTTTGAGTAGTGCAATATCCTTTTTTAAAAAAAGAAAAAATTTGCAAAATTTTTGGGGTTTTGCAGCGTTGTTTTTTTTAAAAGTAGCCATCTGTACCCCTTAAATACATCCGAAGAATGTATTTAAATACATCCGAAGAAATAATAGCACATGAAAATACGCTAAGGATTCCTTTCTGCATAAATGGTGGAGAACATAGATGGATTTAATTAACTATTATTTTTATAGATCCTGAAATGGCCAGAGCAGCTTAGTGTGTTTTTCAAATTTATTGTAAACACACACACACACACACACACATATATATTTATATATATATATACATATATATACATATATATACATATATATACATACACACACACACACACACACACACACACACTTAAACAACTCGACTGGAACAATAATTGCAATCAACGCTGAGTTTGTTGACGAACATTCTAGATTGGCACGAGTGAAAAAACACCACACCTTGCACTGTAAAAAGAGCAGCAAAAGAAAACTGCTGGGGGATGAAATATTTGGGTCATCTGCTATTACAAATATTCTACCAACTGCCTTTTTTCCCCCTTCCATCCTTTTAAAAAAAAGTGATCTGAATTGTCTGATTTAGGTACAACAAAAGAACAGGCTAATGATTCTAATTCCATCTGGTTGTTTTCTAAATTCCTGAAGATGACAATAATCCTAATGGCACACACTACTTGCAAAATAACTTCTTTATTTTCACCTTGGTTTCCCTCAGGCTAAAAAAATTAAAGGAGCCATGATGGGTGGGCCCATTTTCTGTGTGCCTAATACTCAAAAGGCCAGTTTTAGAGGCTTATGTTCTTGTTTCAAGTGTATTTTCCTGTGGAGAAGAGCCTTTCGGTCCTACTCATGACACCCTTCGTTCAGAAAAAATATCTTACCGTTTAGCAAAATCTGAAGTGGGAGAAAAAAAATGAAGTATTCTAAGAGCAGAAGAGAATAACATAAATCCAGGTTTTTGCTCTAGGTGCCCAGAGCATCATTTATTTGTAGCATGCTCTACTGCACACAAAGTCTTTTCTTCTTCTTTTCTGTGTACACAGGTAGTCCTCAATTTACGACCATAATTGAGCCCAAAATTTTCTAATGGTAAGACAGTTGTTAAGTGCCCCTTTTACAAACGGTCATAAGTCACTTTTTTCACTGCTGTTGTAACTTCGAACAGTCACTAAATGAATGGTTGTAAGTCGAGGACTCCCTGCATGGGTCACTTGTGTGCTGACAAGGCACAAAACAAAGTCAGTAGACAACATTTACTCCAATGTCAAAAAACAGGGGAAAGATTTCCGAAGTTTTACAACCTGATTATTTTTTTTCTCATACAAAGCATGACCCTTCTGTATGTTAACGCATTATAAACGTCACAAAAAAAGCAGCGGTCGCATACAGGACGATGAAGCGTGGGCTGAAGAGGCTAACCAGCAAACCATCCTTAGCTTATCTTTGTGGACATATACAGCATCTAATCTTTTTGTCAGAAAAGATTGGGGGTTTTGGCGTTTGGGAGGATTTGTACGAAGTTGAGTTGCAGTCAGCCGAAAACACAGGCCTGGAACGTCCTCATATACCATGGGGATATCGGATATCCTTAAAAAAAATTGTGCTAGTATCTTTGTTTCTACTATATAGAGGATTTTTTTCCCCCGTTTTGTAAATACTTATGTTACATGCACTGTTCATAGTAAATTTTGTTTTGAAATGCACTCTTGTTATCAGAAACTGGCCTTCACTTCTGAGCTGAAATTACAGTACTTGATTGTATTTGATCCAACTTCAATAAATCTTATTTTACAGAGATTTATTTTATTTCCAGTAATCACCTGCAAATACAGATATATATACTGTATATATATAGCCACCCACCTTCAGGTCAGTACATTGTGAAAGAAAAAAGAAAAGAAAAGCAGATGGTTTGTAAGCCAACATGCATGCAATTACCTCTCGTTTAAGGACCGGATGGCCTGAACTCTTGGGGCAGTCCTTGGGATTCTTTTGGTTAATCAAAAGGAATGAAAACAATTCCAGAGAAGTCATCTTTTTGTCAATTGCCGTATTTTTCAGAGTATAAGATGCACTTTTTTCCCTCCTAAAAGAGGCTGAAAATTTGGGTGTGTCTTATACTCCAAATGTAGCTTTTTCAAAGCTTTTTTTCAGCTCTTAGGAGGCGCTAGCAAGTGAAGCGATCTCCATGGTTTGCCTGCTTTTCTCATTGCTTCTCTCTCCAAAGATCAGTTGTGCTTTAGAACCTGTTTTTTATCCCCAAGCAGGGAATACAAATCAGCAAACTAGTGTGCTGAAGCTGACCAGATGTAGGATGCTAGCCAGATGAATACCTGGTAGGCAGATTTTTTTTCCTATTTTCCTCCCCAAAAACTAAACTGCGTCTTATACTCCAGTGCGTCTTATACTCTGAAAAATACAGTAGTTTGTTCAGGCCAGGAGAAAGCCAAATCTACACACCTGGCCTGGCTTTTCCAAAAAAAAAATCTCTCTAGGATTATGATCTCTTGACCAGCTTTTTATTTATTTATTTATTCTGCCCCGCAGTGAGTCTTACATGGGCTAATAATACTTTTGTCTGAAATCTTCTATAAAAGGAGTTCTTTGTTAAAAAGAAAAACATTGCTTTGAATCTCTTATCACTTTGATTTTGGGGTGTCCCTGGTGCTCTCTGAGCTTGTTTTCTTCCAGACATTTATTTACCAAGCCAGTTAACATCATCAGTGTTAAGAGGGAACGGGGTTGGTTGGTTTTCCTTTCTATCTTCAGTCCAGAAGTTCTTATTTTCCGTTTTTAAAGTGCTTGTGTATTAATGGCCCAGTTTAGCATGCATCTATGCCAAGTTGTGCACATGTCTATCTGTAGCGATATGATTTGTTTCCTTTGTGACAATTGGGAGTTTTTATCCTTTTCCCCCCTTCTTCTTCAATAACTGAAGACTGGGTAAAATAAATCACTTCTCGATTCCTTCCCTTGAATCCTTCACCTTTCCCTAATGGAAATAACTCTACTAAACTCCCCATAGACTATTAACTGTTAATTTGATTGCCTTGTGTGCCATTAGCCTCAATTACTTTTGTTAAAACTCCCCATAATTTGTTAACTGCTTATTAATTTGATTGCCCTGCGTAGTATTAACCTTAAGTAGAACTGATTACTAATTAGACTTTCACTTTTCATCTTCCAAAATGCTTAACCTTGATTAACAGCTGCTATGTCCTAACAAAACTGGAACTGCAGGAGGCCACAAATCCACCTGTGTAGTGAACGGTGTGTACCTGATCAACCCAGTGTGCCTTTCCTGGTTTCCATTATCAGCACATCCAATGCATTTTGAGCTACACTGCAGTAAATTCCTTAGTATCTCAATTTATTTATTTATTAAATGTATATGCCACTGATTTCACTATTGAAGTGACTCTGGGAATTTGCAGAAATGGGATTAATACCTCTATTAACACCACCATCCCATATACCTGGTACTACCAGAGGTGGACTGATTGAGCAGGAAGTAGTTTTATAAAATATCCTGGCTCAACTTGTCGCGTAGAGTAACTACCGTATTTTTCGGAGTATAAGACACACTGGAGTATAAGAAGCACCTTAGTTTTTGGGGAGGAAAATAAGAAAAAAGCTGATTGGCAGGTGGATTGGCCTCCCGGAAAACCCCCAATCAGCTGTTCCCAGAGGTGAATTTTAGCAACAGGTTCCTTGGTTGTGAGCTCTGTGCCTTGCTTTTTTTCCTGCCTCTGAAAGCCTCCGAAACAGAGCTTCAAAAAAAAAGCCTCTGAAGCTCTGTTTGGGGGCTTCTTTTCTGAAGCTTCGTTTCTGATGCTTTTTTCAGCCTCTGAAACCTCCGTTTGAGAAGCTGGGCAGGGCTGCATTCGGAGTATAAGACGCACCCAGATTTTCACCCTCTTTTTTTGGGGAAAAAGGTGTGTCTTATACTGTGAAAAATACAGTACTCACGAAGCCATCAGAGACACATCGATCCATCTTAGTTTTTAAAACAGTAAAATTTATTAATGCCAGCATTACGTTTAATACATTTCTGGTATTAAAGACACAGGTTCCAATTGCCCATAGAAGCAGCTCGGCCTGATGACTCTCAATCTAATAGTGGGTTGAACTGCAAACTTACATACTTGTCCTTTGACTTTGTCCAAACTTAAGTCTTCTGGGGTGAGGAAACTGTCATGAAGCCAATCTGCTGCAGAGAGAACCCACCGGTAAAATGAACTAAAGAGAATTTAAGATTGTAACCAAGATGTTATTACGATGTTATTACAAACATTTCAAAATTAGGAAACAAAACAGCAAGAGGAGAAAAGGATGGGTGAACAGTGACTATGCGGCTGAAAAGAATTGGCACTTCTGAACATGCAGCTACAGCAGAAACCTTTGGCAGGGAGCCATTCACTTATGGCAGAGGTCTTCAAACTTGGCAGCTTTAAGACTTGTAGACTTCAACTCCCAGAATTGGGAGTTCTTTGGAGGAATAGAGACTCTCCTATCGTGGACACAATTCGCTTCCTTTGGAACATGATGCAAAACTACAGACCTGGTTACTGGGTGTCAAATCCTCATTCCTGGCTCAAGCTGGCTGGTGGTAGAGTTCGTACAAGCCATCGGCCAGCTTCTCTGTCTCCTCGTAGGCTTCACAGCTCTCTCTCCAACTTTGGGGCACCTGCTCTTCCCCATAAAATGCCCCTGCAATGGCTCCTGCCATGGTTGCAATCGTATCCGTGTCCCCGCCCAGTAAGATGCAGTACATAATGGTCCGTTGCAGAGAGTTGTACCTATCGGGAACATCTGGGTGAGATTCCATGCAACGCAGGAACGAGTAGATTGCAGTGGGGACAGAATTCAGGGCTTCGATGCCGTTGCCTGCATTGAATCAAAAGGTTCCATTACTTTTAGAGAACAGAGCCATGGTGGCACAGTGGTTAGAATGCAGTACTGCAGGCTACTTCTGCTGACTGCCAGCTGCCTGCAATTTGGCAGTTCGAATCTCACCAGGCTCAAGATTGACTCAGCCTTCTATCCTTCCACATTTGGTAAAATGAGGAGCCAGATTGTTAGGGGCAAAATGCTGACTCTATAAATCACTTAGAGAAGGCTGTAAAGTGTTGTGAAGCAGTATATAAGTCTAAATGCTACCGTGTTTCCCCAAAAATATGACCTTGTCTTATATTTTTTTGAACCCTGAAATAAGCGCTTGGCCTTATTGCCATGCGCTCAAAAGCCCGATTGGTCTTATTATCAGGGGATGTCTTATTTTGGGGGAAACAGGGTATTGCTATCTAGTTTTCTGCCACAAGTGAATGCAAAGTGAACCAGAAGACATATAAAAAGAAATATTATATATGCACCAACGTCCACTGAGTCTTGTTTACCTTCCCAGGGGTGATCTGGAAATAAGTTGTCCAAGACTACTGAAAGAATGGAAATACAGGTAGTCCAAGGGTGAAATCCAGGAGGGTCTGGAGAACCGGTAGCAGAAATTTTGAGTAGTTCGGAGAACCGGCAAATACCAACCCTGGCTGGTCCCAGAGTGGGGTGGGAGTAGAGATTTTGCAATATCCTTCCCCCAGGAGTGGGGAGGGAATGGGGATTTTGCAATATCCTTCCCCCAGGAGTAGGGAGGGAACGGGGATTTTCCAGTATCCTTGCCCTCCCACGCCCACCAAGCCACACCCACAGAACCAGTAGTAAAAAAATTGGGTTTTACCACTGAGGTAGTCCTCAACTTCTGACCACAACTGAGGCCAATATTTCTGTTGCTAAGTGAAACATTTGTTAAAATGAGTTTTGCCCCATTTTATGATCTTTCTTGCCCGAGTTAAGTGAATCACTGCAGTTAAGTTAGTAACACGGTTGGTAAGTGAATCTGGCTTCCCAATATGACTTTGCTTGTCAGAAGAGTTGCAAAAGGGGATCACATGACCCCGGGACATTGCAACCATCATAAATAGGAACCAGTTGCCAAGCATCTGAATTTTGATCATGTGTCCATGGGAATGCCGCAATGGTCGTTAAGTGTGAAAAACAGTCATAAATTCCTTTTTTCAGTGCCATTGTTAATTTCAAACTGTCACTGAACAAACTATTGTAAGTCGTTTCTGTTCTGTACAACAGAAACAGCAGCAGCAATTTTAATGCCAGGCAAGAGCTCAACAACTGTTTGTACTGGGGTAAAAAGTACCAGTCTCCACCTTCATAGGAATCGTAAAGAAGAAGCCAAACCGTAGGAATGGGGCCCATTAAAAAATATCTACAAGGTCACATCAACATAACCAAAGTTCTGGAGAAGTCCAAAAGTACATTTATGCCATTATTTTTCTTCCATTCAATCATGTCCAATTCTCAGAGACTGCCTGGACAAGTCCCTGCAGTTTTTCTTAACAAGAGTCGGCATAAGTGGTTTGTCATTGCCTCGTTCCTGGGGCTGAAGTGGTCCAAAGTCACCCAGCTGGCCAAAAATGGAACTAGAACTCACAGACTCCCAGTTTCTAGCCTGATACCTTAAACCACTAGACCAAACTGGATATCTATGCCAACGTTACACAGATATTATTACTGGTTCCAAACCAGGGTGGATTTGATTTAAATCGAGTTGATTTAAATCACAATTTAAATCATGATTTAAATCACTAGTAAAAAGGCTTGATTTAAATCAACTCGATTTAAATCATAATTGTTAAAGAGCAACTGTCATCTCTGCTACTCCTTTGACCCACTGTTGACTCACCGATAGTCCCAGTGTTGCAGAATATACAGCCTCATGCTACATAACTAAGCTCCATTTCATGCTGAATAAACTAAATTATTTATGTATCTTAAATAGAAAACTATCTTACGATAGATTTTTACCCCAAAAGTTTTTTATTAAAATAAATTCGATAAAAATAAAAAAAAACCGATTTAAATCAAAAAAATCTGATTTTTTTTTTTATTTTTTTTAAAAAAGCATTGATTTTTATCCACCCTGTTCCAAACATTTAATAACTGGAGATAAACCTCCTCTAAATGCAGAACTTACGCTGCCCAGAGTCACCTTACTGGGGAGACGGGTAGCATATAAATTTAATACATAAATGAGAAATTTATTTGAATCTTAAAACACTTTTTCCCTACAACTATTGCAACATCCTGTTACTGTGATCTTCAGGTGGCTAAATAAGCACACTATATTGTTAAGTATCTTAAACTTCATTCTATCTCCTCTTTCTCACAGGCATATAAATGTTGCAACATTCATGGTATAATGAGCAGGAATTAAGGTTTTGTTCATTAGTCCACCATGCTGCTGACTGAAGGTATCACATATTTAAGTTATTTTCTATTGAAGATGCTACCGTCTTTCTTCTTGCAAAACTGTGAAGGGCGAGTTATTTCTTATAATAATTTCATAATTCCCTGCTATTTAGGAATGTACTTACCTAATTCTAGTAGCACGTCTGACCTGGACACGGTACCCTGTTCCAAAAACTCTCTGATCTTCTTTAAACGCTTTGAAAAGGGACGGTCCTCGTAGCCCAGCCTGAAGAAAAGAGGACACAGGTGAAATATTTCTGGGTGCTGCCCCCTCATGCTATAAGGTTGATACGACTGTTCTTACATTCGTGCATCAGCCACAGACTTGTCATCAGCCTCCACGTCTTCCATTTGGCCTATCAGCTGATCCAAAAACTTGTCCCGATTTGACTCCCCGCAGAGAGCATAATGGACTGCCAAAGCTTGCAAGATGGCTCCGTTGTAACCCAAGGAGTTTGCGTGGGTCAGCTCAGCACTCAGTTTAGCAAACTGGAAAGAGAGAAAACAACAATTTTAGAAAAACAAGGAAAACTTAAAAATGAGTCCTCAACTTACAACCATTCGTTTAGTGACTATGTGAAGTTTCAACAGCGCTGGAAAAAAATGACTTCTGACTGGTCCTTGCACTTATGATTGTCACAGCTTGTCACAATCTTTTGTGACACAAAGATTGTCACAAATGGTCACATGATCACCATTTATGGCCTTCCAACAAGCAAAGTCAATAGGGGAAATCAGATTTGTTTAACAACTGTACGGTTCACTTAAAAACTGAGGCAAAAAAAAAAAAGATCATAAAATCAGCCGCAGCTGGGATTGCTTTGTTTAGCAACAGAAGCTCTGTTCCCAATTGTAGTCATAAGCTGAGGATGGCCTGTATTTGTTTTGGCTACTGCTGGCAGCACAGAGGAAGCACTATAGCACAACCACATAAAATTCAGATACGTCAAGCATGGTTTTTAAGAGTGAGTTATTTCATATAAAGATAATCATCAGAGGCAATTTTAAATTTTATCAATAATCTGATGCAATCAACAGTCAGGGACAATGGGAGTCTAGAATTTAAGATTTTTTTGTTTTGTTTTTTTAGTCTTTTTAAAATGTTTTGTTTTTCATGAGGTCATGTACATTTCTTTGAGATCGGGGTCTCCAACCTTGGCAACTTTAAGCCTGGCGGACTTCAACTCCCAGAATTGAGTTGGGAGTTGAAGTCCTCCAGGCTTAAAGTTGCCAAGGTTGGAGACCCCCGTTTTAGATCGTGACAAACAAGGCTGATATCCATGCAACTACAGATAGTCCTCAACTTACAACAGTTTGTTTATTGACTGAAGTTACAATGGCACTGAAAACAGTGACTTATGACCATTTTTTACCCTTACTACCTTTGTAACATCCCCATGATCATGTGATCAAAATTCAGATTATTGGCAACTGATTCATGATCGTTGCTGTGTCCTGAGGTTGGTATCGTATCTTGTGGCAACTTTCTAAATTTCTTTTTCAGCTTCATTGGTTCTAACATAATTTTTATGATTTTTCCACATATATCAAATATATCAAGCTAACTACTCAAGGCAGTAAAGTCTTAATCAAAGCTTAGTGAATAGGCCTCATTAAGGAGATTTGTTTAGATTTGTTTGCCTGACCTTGCAGGGAAAATGAATTACAAATCAATAAACAGATTTTCATTCGAGAACTTCTGTCTTAGTCATCCTAATGTGAAAGGCTGTGATCTCTGATGAAAACCAATTCAACCAAAAACAAAGGATGAAACCCATTCATGGGAGGCATAGAGAGAGGAATTGATAAAAATAGCTGTGTTTTCTTATCTGAACAAAAGAGCTCTGAACAGAATATGGATACTTAAGGAGAAGATCTGAAGAGTTTCTACATGATTGGCATGTACATCTGTTAAGCATGTTTAACTTGCTGGTTCTCAGATGGACACCTAAAAACAAGATATGCCAGATATGCAGAATGTGCGTTTAAGGAAAAGTGCACTGTGCATTTAAGCTAGAATAAGTCCAAAATATGACTTAATTTGTTGAACATCTTGGATGAACACCTTCTCCATAAACGTGTCTAAATCTCCTTCGTAACTCAACGCACTATTGATTTTCACAGCATTCCTTAACGGCTAATTTTATGGCTCTTCTGGAAAAGAAAATCCATATTCTGTTCTAATACTGCTCCCTAATGTTTACATCTGATGCCATTGCTAGACTTCTTGGCATTAGAAATCAACTGTTTCAATGTTATTCCTTCTCTGAGAGTATTTGCTAGGAAAAGGATCGTTGACATACCCTTCACAAGACTGCATTCCTTGAGAATTTCCACCTCAAGCAAGCCTAATGGTAGCTACAAAGCAGGGGTGAAATCCTACCGGTTTGGGCAAAACACTAGGGATTATGGGCATCAGTTTATCGAACCGGTAGTAATTACCCCTCCTTGGCCCCACCCACACCCGTCCAGTCGCCACTCACCTCTTCCGGACGCTCGATATTCCACAGAATTCAATGTTAAATGCAGCAGAGAGAATGCTAACGTTTCTCCCTCCGTTCAGAACGGAGCTGCTACAGGCTGTCCCTTTAAGGTAGTCCCCAGGAGGGAGGTGTATGGGGGTGGGGGGTGGGGAGTAGCTGGAATGGAGCCATTTTCGTGAAAGGCAGGAAAACGGGGAAGGGGATTTTCCTGCCTGTCATCCATTCCTCAATCTCAGCCCAGACTGAGGGAAGGATGGTAGGCAGGAATATTCCCCTCCCCATTTTCCTGCCATTCGCGACAAGGAGTGGCTGGGAGGCGAGGGGCCGATGAGGAGCCCCTCGATGTGAGTGATGTCAAGTTGGCCACGCCTACTCAGTCACATGACCTCCCAACAAGCCACGGCCACATAACCGGTAGGGGAAATTTTTTAATTTCACCCCGCTACAAAGGCATTCAATTTCCCAGAAATATTGGCAGACCATCCATGATGGTAGTAGTAGACCGATAAAAGAGAATATTTGTAGCTCAGGGTTAAATGAACAGTCCTTGGTACTCTGAGCTTCGTTGTTTTCTTACTGATGTTATCAAGTTTGGGTAACGAAACATCTGCAAGAAAACAAGCAAGCTCAGGTAGAAGGAGAAAGAGAAAATAACAAACAAAAAAGAATAAAATTCCCGGACAGCCCCTTATATGTGGTTCCAAACTACAGGTAGTCCTCAACTTACAACATTCATTTAGTGACCAAAGTTACAACGGCCTTGAAAAAAGTGCCTTGAGACCATTTTTCACACTTATGACTGTTGCAGCATCCCCACAGTCATAGGATCAAAATTTGGATGCTTGGCAACTGACTCATATTTATGACGGTCGCAGTGTCCCGGGGTCATGTGATCCCCTTTTGTGACTTCTGACAAGCAAAGTCAATGGAGAAGGCAGAGTCGCTTAACAGCCCTGCAACTAATTTAACAAATGTGACGATTCATTTAACAGCAAGAAAGGTCGTAAAACGGGGCAAAACTCACTTAACTCATTTACCAACAGAAATGTTGGGCTCAATTGAGATTGTAAATCGAGGACTACCTGTGGCTAATTTGGGGATATAAATTGAGAGACAACACCACCACCAAGGCATAGCTTAGCTTGCTACATCAAACAGGATTGCTGTGTGTAAATGCTTTCAAGTGCTGTTCAAATAGTTGGCGTGGCATCTAAAACAATTAACTCACCTTCTTTACATCTTGAACGTCGGAGTAAGCTAATGAAATGCCTGCTACTCTCATGGCACCACCATTCCCATAGGAACCTTTCCCGTTAAACTGCTGCCTTGCTGGCTCAAACACATCTCTGCATTTAGGACTAAGCAGTTTCTTGAATACAGTCACCACACCGCCTCCATAGGATCGGTCAGGATCCTTGTCATATTCTTCAGCAAACCTGATGGGAAAAGACTGGTTACAAAATAATCCATTTGCATTCCATCTGCTTGGAAAGATGCTAACAACAGTAGAAGAGGGCTTTATTAAAGATCAAGCCCTAAGGGTGTTATTTGGAGGATTTGTTTAATCTACATAGGGGGATATTAACTGATTTTAATGGTTTTTAAATTTTGTAAATTTTATGTGTTTTAATATGGCTGTACACCACCCTGCGTCCTTCGGGAGAAGGGCGGTATAGAAGTCTAATAAAAGTAAAGTCAAGTCAAGTCCACGGCTCTGTAATTAATTCTAGGATTTCGATGATTTAGCCCAATCGCCTGGATTTGCATAACACACAAGACAGGGCGGCATAAAAAATTAATAAGATTAAAAAGCAGTTATTCATGTAGATGACCAGGCTAAGCCCGAGGGAAGGGTCAAATGCATCATCAGTCATGAGTCGCTTCGCGCCCACAAGAGATCTTGAATTCCTTGGGCTCTTATCTACCGTCAATTTGCTTTGACCGTTAGTAGCTCAGATTCTTGTAGAGAGCACAAGCTTGCAATAAATCTTTATACTCATTTGAACTGCCTAGAACAGGGATGTCAAACCCAAGGCCTCGGGGCCAGATCTGGCCCACAGGTTGCTTTGATCTGCCCCTGGGGCTGCCCTGGAATCAGCGAAGGACCAGCCCGCAGTGCCTTCCGAGCTCTGTTTTCTCTGGCAGAGGGTTGCAGGAGGCCGTCGCAGCCGTAAATGGAGCTCAAGAGCCCTTTTTTGCTGGCACTGCGCTTGGGTGCCCCAACAAGAGTGATGCCGAGCTGGCCAGGCCCATCCTGGCCTCCCTAGGTCAAACACAACCCTGATGCGGCCCTCAATGAAATCAAGTTTGACACCCCTGGCCTAGAATGATCTTCTGACTTCCCCGGCACTTGGCAGTTCATGTTTAAGTGTGTTGTGCGAGGATAAATCCACATCAGCCTACTCCTGATGAGTGTTTTACAGCTGTTCCGACATTACTTTCCACCTGGATTCATAAAATACAGGCAGAGCAATAAATGGGACTTGTGCTGATGAGAATTCAAAGAGTATCTGGGATATTCTCTGTTTTCTGCCAATACAAAGGAGGTCTGGAAATGCGATACTGCTTATTCCTTGAGATTAGAGAGACCGGTTTCATTTTCTCCACCATACCAAGCAAACCTCTTTAAGGCAAATCTCATTTATATTCAAAGTTGAATAAGGCCAGATTGCACAAATTTAAATTTTCATGCCATCAAATTCATACTTCTACCTAATCCAATAGTATTTCCACTGTCTGGAAACAGCCACATGCCTTACCTCTTTGCCATATCCACTTCATCAAAATCTCGCTTGGCCAACAGTGACCTAACTAGCGAGTGGGCCATGGCTGTGTCATCGCTGTAATAGAGGATTTCTAGGGAGCAAACAATAAAGCAATATATATTATTCACGGAGAGTATATATGCAAACTCACATATTTTGTTTCTATTTTCAAAGAATGCTGCAAATGGTCATAAATGCAACCCAGTTGCCTACCGCCTGAAATGCAGTCACTATGTGAAGGGATGGAATTGGAACTTCCAATCCCAGGAAGGCCTGCCACAAGTTTGAATGGTTGCAAAGCAATTGGGGATAAGGACTACCGTGTTTTTCCGAAAACACAATCCACCCCAATAATAAGCCCAACCCTAATTTTCAGGGGGTGAACCTAATATTACCCTTATCCCGAAAATAAGCCCAGGGGGGATGGGTGTGGCCAGCATGAGTGGCGGTACGGCGTGCGAGGGGGCAACTGTCTGGCTGCAACTGCAGCCTGCTGGCCCCTTAGGGCAGCGCAAATATCGCTTTTTCCCTTCTCTTTGTGGGCGCAGCGCTCCTGCTTGTTGGGCTGCTTCCTTGAAGCCGGCAGCTCTGCGGCCAGCTGCTTTGCTTTTTCCCTCTTTTTGGGAGGCTCACGGGAGGCTTTTTGATGAATGGGAGGAAAATGGGGAGGGGGATTTTGCTGCCTGTCATCCATTCCTCAATCCATTCCGCTGTTCTGCCCCAGCTCTGGCTTTCCAAGGATTGTGACACACACCAACGGTCCTTATCAAATTTATAATGTACCAAGAATAAACAAAGTCCTGCAAAGGTTGGCAACCAGCCCAGAAAACAAGATACGATAAGACACTCACTCTCCAAATGCTCTATAATAATTACACATTGTTTCCAGCAAGAAATTACTAACTGCGTACAACTTAAATAGGCTAAGGGAGTGGCCAAGTATCCTCAAACCTTACTCTCGAGACCTCCTCCTCCTGAATAGCCACTCCTGCCTTTTGGCAGCCCTGCGTGCTCGAGCATTGAGGAGAGGCTCCTCAACTCCACTCCACTTGAAGGAGCCTCTGGAGGTTCTGAAGGCCCTGGCTGAGTCTCTGCCCCTGGCACCACATCCTCTTCAGCCTCCTCGCTGTCCGACGCAAGCGCTGGCTGCACAGGCTGCTGGCACGACCCCACACCAGCCTCCTCGTCGTCGGGATCAGCCACGATCCGCGCAGGCCGCTGGCGGGCCACAACATCTGCACAAACTGAGGGAAGGATGACAGGCAGCAAAATCTGCTTCACCATTTTCCTCCCAGTCACCAAAAAGCCTCCATTCCGAACACTGAAGGTTCGGAATGGAGGCAACAGTGCGTCCACGGCGCATAAAGCTCAATGGGTCTGGCCTGCTGCACCTCAAAAAAAGTAAGACTGCCTCGGAAATAAGCCCAAGTGCTTATTTTCAAGTCTAAAAGAAAATAAGACTCGGTCTTATTTTCTGAGAAACACGGTACCTATACAGAGGCATGAATAAATATGAAACTCCATCGCTAAGTCTCTGTAGGGCTGGAGACTAAAAAAAAAATCTTCCTGAATTTAATATGAAGATTCAAAGGGAACCTTACAAGCTTTGGATCAAACATACAATGTTTACCCAAAACGGAGACTCTTGAAAAGCAGTCCATAAACTCAGTGTTTACTCCTTACCTCACCTTAGAAGTAAACAGGAATGTTGCCTTAATTTTTCTTTTCAGCTCAACAACTAAAAGTGAATCACAGAAAGAAAAGCTGGACAAAGTGAAAGAGGACAAATTATTTCTAGCATTGTGGCCACAAAGTGACTAATCCATCTCTTCTTAGGCTACAATTTTGTCATGTTAAACACTGGAAGGTTAATAAAATATAATCAATTTTAATTTTAGCAATAGCATTTAAGACTTATATATCACTTCACAGTGGTTGCAAGTCAAAGACTACCTGTATTCAAGTAGTTGAAACTGCATTGTACAGATGAGAAATTCTAGAATCTTCTCTCTTAGGGTCTCCTTTTTTAAAAAAAATAGCAACAGCACTTACACTTATATACCGCTTCACAGTGCTTTACAGCCCTCTCTAAGTGGTTTACAGAGTCAGTTTATTGCCCCCAACAATCTGGGTCCTCATTTTACCGACCTCGGAAGGATGGAAGGCCCAAGTCAATCTTGAGCCTATGAGAATCGAACTGCTGGCAACCGGCACTCAGCAGAATTAGCCTACAGTACTGCATTTTAACCATTTGTGCCACCAAACTCCTAATTATGTTATGTTTTAATTGTATTTTAAAAGTACAGAATTTTAATATTTGAATTATCATAGCATAAAATTGTTTTAATTATATGTTTTGAAAATTCAATAATTTAAATAAAATCCAATAATACTTTCAGAAGTTTGGCTGATGTTTAAGAAACATTTTTTATTAAATGCAATCTGGCAATGCTGCATTAATATTAATTAATTAATTAAGGAGCCTTGGTGGTACAGCGGACTAAAGGGCTGTTAAGTAGCACTTAGCTGCCAGCTGCCTGCAATTACTGCGAGTTCAAATCTCACCAGGCTCAAGGTTGACTGAGCCTTCCATCCTTCCAAGGTAGGTAAAATGAGGACCCGGATTGTGGGGGCAATAAACTGACTTTGTATAAAAAAGAACACCACTTAGGGGGGTCCTCTACTAAGCAGGTATATACAAAAGTATGAAGGCTATTGCTTAATGCATTGTAAGCCATCCTGAGTCTCCGGAGAAGGGCGGCATATAAATCGAACCAATAAATAAATAATAAATTAATTGCAACCTAATTTTCAAACAGAACATGATTATTATGGTAAATAATGTAATGGTAGTGTCACTAATAATGGTGGCATAATTTCTCCTTGCCAATAAAGGGGTAGTTGTCTCATTGATAAGTCTACTAATTTGTTTAATGAATATAAGTTTGGCAAACTGACATGAATATTCTAACTGTAGTCACAATAACTTAACATGCAAGTATTGCATTACTGATTTAAGCAAGCTTTCATGAACCACTTATTTGGCAAGACAGAAACCACAGCAATAAATTGTTCCTCTTTGCAAATCCAGGCAGTGATTCCTGCCCTCTTAGTGATGCAATGTTGCCACACATTTAACCACACGACTTTTATCCTTCTTAGTTAGCTGTAATTGCAAGAACAGCGGAGAAGCCAGGAGAAGCAGCATGAACTTTTTATCTGGAAGGGTCCCATCCCCCTCCCACCTTGCCCTTCCCACCCTATGAAGGGAACAAGAATTTAAAAATGCAGAGTTTTGGGCTTAACCACAATAATAAAGAAATAGCAATAGCACTTAGATTTAGATACCACTTCACAGTGCTTTAGAGCCCTCTCTAAGCGGTTTACAGAGTCATTGTCAACTCTGAAGCGAACCTGACTGGGGTCATTTTAGAGGCTTCAGGGTGGCCAGTCAACATATTGCTCCCCCCGCCCCCCGTGGCAACAATCTGGATCCTCATTTTACCCACCACGGAAGGATGGAAGACTGAGTCAACCTTGAGCTTGGTGTGATTTGAACTGCCAAACTGATGGCAGCCAGCAGCCAGAAGATATATTATATTATATTAATTATTATTATATTATCTTTTATAATATTATAATTATATTATTATATATTATATTATATATTAATTTTATATGTGTGTGTATGTATATGTATATATTTATATTTATAATATAAGTATTATAATAGTTATTTATTAAAATATTAAAAACAAAATAAGGAAATGAAATAATAAAATGAAAAACACAATGGAAATTGTGGCAGCCAGCAGATTATTATATTATATTGTATTATATTACAATATTAAATCTTCTCCTCTTTTAAATTTAAATTTTAAACATAAATTTTAATCTGTTTAATTATGGGGTATTTTAAAATTCAGCCTAAATTATTTAATTCGTTTTAATTTATTTTAAATTTTGTATTTCTGTGTTTTATCTTCTGGCTGTTCACCGCCCTGAGTCCTTCGGGAGAAGGGCGGTATAGAAATTTAATAAAATAAATAAATAAATAAATAAATATTATATTAATTATATTATATTATATTTTGTTATATTGATATATATGTATGTATATGCATATACGTGCGTGTGTATATGTATATACATATATGTGCGTGTATATGTATATATTTATATTATAAGAATTATAACAAAGTTATTTATTAAAATATTAAAAACAAAATAAGGAAATGAAATAATAAAATGAAAAACACAATGGAAATTGTGGCAGCCAGCAGATTATTATATATTAATTATATTATATTATATTAATTATATTATATTATATATATTATATTACATATTATTATATATTATATTGTTTTATATATATGTGTGTGTGTGTGTGTATGTATTTATAATATAAGTATTATAACAAAGTTATTTATTAAAATATTACAAACGAAATGGAAAAAGAAATGAAATGACCGAATGAAAAAGACAAGGGAAAAAAGGAAAAGGTAAAATAAAGAAATGACAAAGCCAATAAAACAAAATCTGTGGGGGGGGGGAGGGGGAGGGGGGGCCGCAGGGGGGAATCCAAGCACAGCCTCCTAACTGCGGGCGGCTCCCCTCAAGGGATCCAGGCCAGGCCCCGAAGGCAGCGACCCACTGGATCCCCCCCAGGCCTCCCCGCCCTGCTCACTCGGGACACGGCTGCCCTCAGACTTGCCGCCGCTCTCCTCGCCGGGCTCCGCAGCCGGGCCTTGCCGAGGCGGCGATGGCAGCGGCCGCAGGGCAAGAACGAAGCGGAGCAGCTCGGGCGCGCTGACCGACTCCCGCGCCTCGAAGTCGCCGCCCAGGCAGTCGCCCAGAAGAGCCCCGAGAAGGCAGCCCCGGCAGCGGCTCCGCGTCAGCTGAAGCACCTTCGCCGCCATCTTGCGCGAAGGAGGGGCGGGGCTTCTTCCCGGCCCCGCCTCCTTTTTTGCCCTCCTCTTCCGCCCCCAGGTGAGCCGCGCTGTCCCACGAAGCCCCGCCCTCTCACTGAAGCCCCGCCCCTTCTCCGAACTCTCGTTCGCCGGCCAGCCTCCAGTCCAGATGTGCCTCCCCGGTAGCCAGATGGGAATCGGGGAAAGTTAGAAGATACAGTCCACTTTTTGGTCCTCCGTTAACGGAAATTATTATTATTATTATTATTACTACTATTAAAAATTATTACAGGTGGTCCTCGATTTACAACTGTTCATTTACAACAGAGATCCCCAAACTTGGCAGCTTTAAGACTTGTGGACTACAAGTCTTAAAGCTGCCAAGTTTGGGGACCCCTGATTTACAACCATTCATTTAGTGACCATTCGAAGTTATGCCGTCCCTGGAAAAAAAAGCGACTTAGGATCACTTTTCACACTTAACGGCCATGGCGGCCTCCTCGAAGTCACGGGACCAAAGTTGGGATGCTTGGCAGTTGGTTCAGATCGGTGAGGGTTGCGGTGTCCCCAGATCGCTTGTGGATCGCACCTTTTGCGACCTTCAGACCAGCAAAGTCAATGGGGGAGCCAGATTCACTTAACAGCCCGGTTACTAACAATGGCAATGATTTGCTTAACAACGGTGGCAAGAAAAGTCGTGAAACAGGACAAAACTCAACTTGGCAAGATAAATTTTAGTTTCAGTTTTGGTTGTTAGGTTCAGGACTACCAGTATTTTCCAGAGTTTACGTGATCTTTCTAGACCAGAGGTGGGCAACTATGGCCCTTTTATGACTTGTGGACTTCAATTCCCAGAATTCCTGAGCTAACATGGCTGGCTCAGGAATTCTGGGAGTTGAAGTCCACAAGTCATAAAAGGGGCATAGTTGCCCAACCCTGTTCTAGACAGTTGCGCAACAAGATCCAATCTGATTTAGTCTTTTGTTTGTGTAACTCTCGTCAGTCAAGCTCCCATATATTCTTACTTCGTGAATTGTTTCCTTCCTCCTTACTTTCCCTTGGCAGATTCATAGGAATGAATTTATTTCCTGATTCCAACCAACCACTGCAACCCAGGTCTCTGTGATGATTGGCGCTTTCTTGCAAAACCCATCATGAAATCTGGAAGACTGAAGTACTTCAGGATCCTGCTTAAGTAGACAAAATTAACCTCATCTATAGAAAGGAGAGAAAACTCTTAAATGGGATGGAAATTCAGGAGTTCCCCTCCTACAGATTTTTCTCCAGCACCTGGCACTAATGAAATGTCTAGCTGTGCACAAGTTGAAGCAAGCTTGTCAGAAATCTCAAGTAGCATCAAAAACCACTCCTGAATCTTAATGGCAGCCTTTTTAATTAGTTATCCAACTTTTTTTGCAATATACCAAAGCTGTGAGAATCAAATAAAGGGCAAATACACAACTCTGAGAAGGGGCAAAGAGAAGATGACTTGAGTCATTCTAACCCAACACAGACCGTAGCCTGGCTTGGTTGGAGATCAATCCTGCAAAGGTCTACGACATTCTCAGATATCCTAGGCCAGCTCCAGTTGCCGGCTTTTGAGGGGCGAAAGAGTACGGTTGGTTGTGCGGTTGAAAGTGTCCACCTCTGGCACAAATTTCTCAGCCGGAACCGTCAGCTTTCGCCTGCCATCCATGCATTTGTTATCCAGCACCAGAGAGTTCATCTTGTAGGAAATATCTGTCTGGATGCGGTACAGGTGTTTATAGAGGGCATCCAAAGCATCCCTGCAAAAAGGAAGAGAAGATGGTCGCAGCTTCATTCCAGGTGAACTAAAAATTGCAAATCTTCCCACTTCAATCTTATTCTAACATTTACTGGGACAAAAACATGATTTCCCAACTGATATTGCAAGATCATCCCTTCCTAGCACCACCAAAAAGCAGAAAACCTTAAAGAGAAAAGTATGATGGACCAGAAGTTTTTTTCCCCCATAGGCAGATTTCTTAGCTGATGACTATTTTACTAATACAACTCCATGAAGACAACATGTCCGTGAACACACTGCTAGCAGCTATTGTTTATCATGGATCTAGGGATAGTAGGACAAGCTTTTATATCTCTCTCAAAATAGGTTAGACCAAATGAAATTGTTTGTTTGTTTGTTTGTTTGTTTGTTTGTTTGTTTGAGGCATGGTGGCTTTATGACACCAGAGATGGTTTCTGCTCTGGCGTTCAAGTCCTAGGACTGTGTGGCAGGGTGAGCTCCCATAACTCTCCTCGGCTTCTGTCCACCTAACAGTTTGAAAGCATGTTCTATGCAAGTAGATAAATAGGTACCACTTCAGTGGTAAGGAGACGAGCTGGTGCTCTGTACAGGCAGGCAGTTTCCTAACAGCTCTGAACCTTCCTGCTTACAGTGCCCATTTCTGAGGCAGCTCCAGGAAGGAGGGGACCTTGGTTGACTCCACAGGAAGAACTGCTCATCTTTCTCTTTGATGCAAAGCCAGCTTGCCTAAGATGAATAGACTTCAACTCATGCTGGCTGGGGGATTCTGGGAGTTGAAGTACACACATATTAAAGTAGTCAAGCTTGATAAATACCGTATTAGATGTGGGACACCTGGGAAGCATGCAAGTATGTCCTATAACAGGGCTGGTACCTTGGCAAACCAAACTATTACTCTGCAATAGCATTGTGGTCCTCTGGCTATTGTAATAATGCCATATGCTAATAAATATTTATTTGTTTGTTTGTTTGTTTGTTTTATCTTTTATGTCACCCATTTTACCTAGAGGAACCGCTAGGTGGTATACAATCATAAAAACAAGATATGTATTGATTGGATTTGCAATCAGATTTAATTATTTCACAGGTAATTATTGCAGAGGTGGGCAACTGCAGCCACAGGGTCACAGACAGCCCACACGTTTGCAGCCTTAGGCATCCCCTCTGACAGTTGCTGAAATCTGAACTCATAACTTCCTGCCATGCTCAGAAGAAAATGCACAAAAACTGCACGAAAATCCTTAACTATATCGTAGTTGAAAAAAATAAAGTGGAAATAAAATCCAAATTCCCCAATCTAACTGACTTATTTTATATAATCTAGTTTGCTTTGAGGGCCTCAGCCTCCTCCGTTCCCCCTCCCTCCCTTGTTGAGCTTTGGTCATGTTGTGGCTAAAACCTGAATCTTCTAAAAGCCACCAAATCACTTTGCAGACACAACACACATTTATTAAGCACGCAAATAATTACAGTTTAGATAAAGTTCCCAGAAAAGCATTGGCAGCTTGCTGAGCAGCCCTGAGCAAAAACAGAACCACAGTTTACATACCTTTTATCCTACTGCATTACAAAAACAAGACAAAGTCAGATGTGGCGTGACTAGAACTAAAATACACACTACAACTTACTGCGACTGTGCCATTTTTTGCTTTAATGCAGCTATTGTGCCTTCTAGTTGATGAACTTCATCTGTTAATCCATGCTGAGCCTAGAGTTAAGGAGACAGAAAGCAAGCAATTCAGGGTTCAGAAATAGCAAAGGCCAGACTGACTAGAGAAGTATAACTCTTTCCATATTACCACCTCCTGCTATAAAGAATTGTGTTCCGCTGTTGTGGTCCGCCAGCAGCCTGTGGAACTGGCAACGGAGTCAAGACAGTGAGGAGGCTGGGGAGGAAGATGGGCCAATCTTGGAGTCTGGGGAAGGCCCCGACGAGGGCTCTGCATTGGAGGCAGAGATGGGGCCAGGGCCATCTGGGAGCGATGCACGGACTCCAGAGCCTCCAGAGGCAGATAGCAGAGAGGCAGAGGAACAGGAGGAGCCTGTTCCTAGTGCGCGCATGCGCAGAGCTGCCAGAAGGCAAGAGCAGCTAAAGCAAAAAGGACGACTCAGGAGTAAGGCCAGGAGATGATTGGCCCCTCCCAGAAGGTTAAAAGAGCAGCAACAGCTCTTGGGATCTTTGTAGGAAAGCAACCTTGCTACATTTGTTTCTTGTGGAAGTCTCTTGCTTCTGAACTTTGTGGGATTTTGCCAAGTAAAGCCATTGGCAGGGTGCCAAAGAAGACAAAGGTTGGGAATTAATTTGGACTAAGCTGAGAATGAAGTAATTCTCAGCTGTTCTAATAAAATATGTTTGTTTAGGACTGATTGTGTCTGGTAGTATTTATTTTATTTATTATTTATTTATTAATCAAATTTTTATACTGCCCTACTCCCGAAGGACTCAGGGCGGTGAACAACCAAGATAAAATACAGATAATACAAATATTAAAAAGTCCCTTAAATTATTAAATATTTTGGCCAAAACATAAATTAAAACACCCAATTTATAAAATCATGAATTAAAAAATTTAAAAGAGAAGAGTTAGGCCAGGCCAGCCTGCTGAAATAGAAAAGTTTTGAGAGCACGGCTTTCAAACTACTTGGGCCTAGGTCACCACATCTGAAGAGCCTTGGTGGTGCAGTGGACTAAAGTGCTGTTAAATAGCACTTAGCTGCCAGCTGCCTGCAATTACTGCGAGTTCAAATCTCACCAGGCTCAAGGTTGACTGAGCCTTCCATCCTTCCGAGGTAGGTAAAATGAGAACCCGGATTGTGGGGGCAATAAACTGACTTTGTATAAAAAAGAACACCGCTTAGAGGGGGTCAAAAGCCTTACTAAGCAGGTATATACAAAAGTATGACGGCTATTGCTTAACGCATTGTAAGCCGCACTGAGTCTCCGGAGAAGGGCAGCATATAAATCGAATCAATAAAATAAATAAACATCCGCAAGTAGTCTTCAACTTAAACTGCGGTCATAAGTCAGGGTGGCCCCATGACTGGAAGTAATTTTACAGGCTTTTTCCTGGCAGTCATTTATTTATTTATTTATTTATTTATTTATTTATTTATTTATTTATTCAGAGCTGCCAGAAGGCAAGAGCAGCTAAAGCAAAAAGGACGACTCAGGAGTAAGGCCAGGAGATGATTGGCCCCTCCCAGAAGGTTAAAAGAGCAGCAACAGCTCTTGGGATCTTTGTAGGAA